GTTCTACATAGCAAGTTTCAGGCCAACTGGGGCTACAGCGAGACCCTGTCTCAAAAAGACAAAACAAACAAAACAAACTCCTCTATATACTTGGCTCTTGGGATTCCAAAAATTCCTAGATCAGAGTTTGCTGCCTGCCTAATTTGCTGCTCTACCAAATTTGTTCCTAAAGAAAACTATTTTTACTTATGTACCTATGCTTGTCTGTATGTGTTCAGGTGCTCACAAAAGACAGAAGGAAGAATTAAGACTCTTTAGAGCTGGAGTTACAGGTGTGTGTGAGCTACATACCTAATGTGGATGCTGGAATCTGAACTCTGATCCTGATAGAGCAGCTCTTAACCTCTGAGCCATCTGTCCGGTCCCAAAGAAAACGGTTTTATGTTGAATTATCATGACTGACTCTTTTTTTTTTTTATCTTGATGCCTCTCTGTAATTAAACTTTTTCCAGTAATGGGCATCATAACCAGAACCTCACTACTAAACCTTACAACACTCTACCCCCAAATATGTTTTTTTCCATTTTATGTGTGTTTTGTCTGCATATATGTAAGTGCACTTGTGTTCCGCAATACTCAAGAGGCCAGAAGAAGACACTGGATCCACTGGAACTGGAGTTACGGATGGGTTAGCCTCCATGTGAGTGCTGGGAACCAAATTCAGGTCTTCTGTAAGAATAGCCAGTGCTCTTAAAACACTGAGCCATCTCTCCAGCCCTTCCTTTTTTTTTTTTTTTTTTTTTAAATTTGTGTATGTACGCAAAAATGTATGAGGGGCACACGTGCCACGGTATAAGTGTGTTGATGGTCAGAGGACAACTTTGTGGAGTCAGTTCTCTTCACCCACCTTTACGTGGGTCCTGGAGATTGAAGTTGGGTAGCCAGCTTGCTTGGCAAGCACCTTTACCCACTGAGTCATCTCACCAATCCCTAGAAAAGCTTCTGAACAAAGAAAATTTAATGTCATTCTTTTACTTTTATTCCAACACATGCTACCAGTTTTTTCATATTGTGCTTATTATGACATCTTATTACAAAACTGACACAAGTTCTGCATCCCAAAATCTGAAATTCTGAAATGCCTTGGAGTTTACATGTGCAAATATTCCAAAAATCTGTAGAATTTATATTTAAAACACTTCTGTCCCAAATACTTTGGATAAGGGATATCCAACCTATGCTAGATACTCCTATTTACAGTACATGAAAAATGAAGTATCAATTTCAAATTCCATGATGAACTTTGATGAAGTATACAGACTGTTTTTGTCAATGAAATGGCTTCCTGGAGTAGACAGCTCATTTGGTACCATGCAAGCAGGAACATCTGGCAAGTCCAGCAGAGAGGCAGAGACAAAAGCATCATGCTGGCTCTAGATTCAGTGAAGAGACCTTATCTTAAAAAAAATACTGGGCCTGGTGAGTCATGCCTTTAATCCTAGCAGAGGCAGAGAGGAAGAGGCAAAGGCAGACAAATCTCCATGAAATCAAGGCTAGCCTGGTCTACACAGCAAGTTCCATCCAGGCCAGCTGGGGCTACAGGGAGAGCCTGTCTCAAAAGGAAAAAAAACACCAACAGCAACAACAATAAATAAATAACGTAGGGAATAATTGCAGAAGAGATCCCATTGTCAACCTCTGGCCTCCAGATGTACACACATTCACACATGGACACATAACACTCACATGCACACACGCATACACAGACCTATGCTAAATTTCCAGAAAAATTTTCCTCTTCACTTAATAACTAAACTAAGTTTCTCTTAGAGAGAAATTTCTGGTGTCTGTCCTTATGTCTCAAATAAACAAAATGAAAAGAGAAAGCAAAATATCTTAAACTAAAAATCTTCCCAAAATTCCAGAGAGTGCACATATAATATGATCACATAAATATTTAAAAAGTAACAATGTCAGACATTTGTTTTTCCTATAAATACTAGAGTTAAGCCTAAATTATTAAACTACATCAGTGACTTATTCAACATAGACACATAAGCCTCAAGTGCCAATATGACACACATTAATGCTTTCAAAGATTGGCTAAAAGAACTTAATCTCTCTATGATGCAAAGACATTTATAGACTTACAGGGTTTGGTATTTTCTAAAACATTTTTAAAAGGCATGTCTTACTTTCCCATTAAGGATTATGGGCCACTCATAATTCTGGATTCCACAGTTGCCAATGCAAGGTGGTAGTGTTTTGCTTTTTTGTTACTGTAGTAGTGGTGGTGGTTGTTTTGAGACATGGTATCACTACACAGCCCTGGCTGACCTGGAATTCTCTATATAAACTAAACTGGCCTTGAACCAACAAGGATCTGCCTGCCTCAGCCTCCTAAATAATGGGATTAAAAGTGTGCAACCACCATACCCAGCCCCAATGCAAGTTTAATAAGACTACAAAACACTTTTAACGTTAAAATAACATTGATTTGTAATAAGTTTATTTCTTCCTTCGCTCAAACTCCTCTTACATCATTAATACTGATAGCTAAAGGAATACACACATATACATGATACTTGAGTTGTAATGGTGGAAGATAAAAGCAGTAGCTCCTGAGGTATCTTATTACATAACAATAGTAGTTACATATTAAGCATTAAATGCTTAGAATAAGGTTATGCTAATATCATTCAACTCAAAGCTTATTTCTTCCATAAGCTTTTCTGTGTCACTCATTGTATATTAGTCAGGAAATTAGTGCAATCATTACAGCTACTTTTCTACTTATACATGATATAGATTTTCACCTGTTTCCTCACATCTGATGACTTCTCTCAAGGAGATAAAAAGGATATTGTGTCCCTTTACTTATAAAATCCACAAACACTGGGGCTGAGGATGTAGCTCAGTTGCCAGAGTGCTTGTCAAACATGCAGGATCCTCAGCTCTGCATAAACCAGGTATGATTCTAATACCAGCACTCAAGAGATGGAGGCAGGAGATCACAAGTTCAAGGACAGCTTGAGCTACATGGAGAGTTTTAAGCCAGTCTGAGCTACATAAGACTTAAAAAAAAAAAAAATTTCAAGTATTACTCTCCAAGTGCCATCAAAAATTGGCAGCAATAAAAAAGAAGAACCATAAATCTTAATTTTTTGGATCATCTTTCCTCCCCAGCTTTTAACTCACTGAATTAGCTTTAGGTAAACTAGCAAATCTGATTTAAGTTTCCTTCTAAAAGCCTGTAAAGGATCTTCATATTACATGAACATGAATGGAGAAATAAAAATTATATGCAAAACAGTGTTTATGGCACACTGGATTTTTTTTAAATCTTTAGTTATAATACCTATATAAGCAGTACTAAAATTAAGTAAAGCTGGAAAATGGCACCTAAAGTTTTAGAAAACCCCCAGAGGGCATAGTCAATGGTAAAGCATGCTGGAGGCATTCAGATTCCCAGGACCACAAAAGAACTATAAAATGGCAGAATAGGGCTGGAGAAATGGTTCTGCTTTGGTTAAGAGCACAGGCTGCTGCTCTTGTGGAGGACCTGAGTTTGATTCCCAGCATCCACATGGCAGCTAACAATTGTTTTTAACTCCAGTTTCAGGGAAATCCAACTTCTGACTGCCTCTGGCATTGCCTGACATGGGTATATTTACATATAGGAAGGCAATACACTCATATACATAAAATAAAAACTAATAAATTTTTAAAGGCAGAATTATTTAATTTCAAATCAAAGATATGTAATATCCAAGCAAAATATATACAGGTCACATTGTTTTGCTAATTCCAAAAGCTCAGGAAAAGAAGCGTTCCCCTTGCAAAAAAGTCTTACCTTTAATAGTATTTCTCAAGGTTCTTACTGCAGAGGCTATAAGGTTCTCTCTGAAGTATTCACAGCCGTTGAAAATAACATCCTTTGAACTATACACTGTACTCAACACTTAGAACATCACTGATCCAACATAAAATAACATAAAAAGTTATTAATTCATACTGATTAATGGACTGAACACAGACAAAAGATCCAAGTTTTCACTGTGTTCTGCCTTTCGTTCACTAAAGGTTCTTATTCCAATCAGAAATAACTGTCCAAGACTGCTCTTAAATCGTTGCTTAGTAAATATGATTTCCCCTGACCCTTGGGATTTCTGAAATGTGTAAAATGTCAGACTACAACGCTGTTCACCACTAGGTATTATATGATACACATGGTTCTGTTAGTGCAGATTTTACTTGAATTTAAAGTTCTGTTAAATTTAGGAATATGCTCATGATTTTTTTTCCCAGTCGAAAGCGAGTCACAGTTTTGTCAACAAAACTACCAATGTCAAGCCCCCTACCTAAAAACAGATGGAAAAAAGGTAAGATTGTTTACAGCATTACTCTTTGATGACTATTTCTCTTCTTCCAATTCCTATCGGTGGCAATATGAAATGGTAACAGAGAAAGGACCAAGCATGCTTATTATTTCAGTAAGCAACAGAGTTCAAGCACTGCCACATCGATCCTGGGCCCTCACGGAGCTGTCTGCTAGCAAGTAAAGCTGCTTTTTCTGTGTAACTTAAGCCCGTGCCCTTCCGCTGCAGCAGTGGCGCTGCACATCCCCCACCCCCGCGGCCACTTCCGTGTTTACACTCCTCTTCCCTCCAATTCCATGCGTACATTGTCAGCTTCACTCCCGCCCAATCTTCATTGGTCCGGCGCGCGCCCAAGGTCCCGCCCCCAGAAATCAACGTTCTTATTTGGAACATCTCCGAGCGCAGATTGGAACTGCGGGCCTGTCAATCGCGCGCGTTCTGTCCTCTCCCAGGCGCTTCCGCTACGGTGGGAGGTTTGGGGGAGGGGAAAGGGGGCAATTCCGTGTGGAGACTTCCCTGGGGCCAAGACGTCTCCCGCCAGCCCCGTTCCTCACGTTCACCCAGTTGACAAAAATAAACGTTCCCCTCTGACGTCCCCACGCTCTGGGTCCCTGGCACAAAACAAACACCTTGTCCTTCCCATTCCCCCCTGGGAAAAAAAAAAAAAAAAAAAAAACCCCCCTCACGAGGGAAGGGCAGCAGCCTAGTGTCCCCGCAGCCGCCGTTAGCCGGGGCAGGGGAGGTGCCGGGCCCGTGTACCGCCGCCTCAGAGCGGGTAAGTGTCCCAGGACCGTTACTCCTGCGCTGCTCCGTGTGTGGGAAGAAGCAGGAGGCCGGGGCGCGTTTTGGCGGGTAGCGTCCGCGGGCAGCGCCCGGGGCCGCGTCGTCCATGCGGAAGTAGCGGCTGTGTGGAAGTGTGGTGCGAGGGCGGCGGGCGGCCAGCGCCCCCGGCCGCGGGCAGGGGCGGCCTCTCTGGCCCGACAGCGTGGCAGGCGGTGGGGACAACAGCCCCGCTCACTTCCTGGTTCCTCGGCAACTGGGGTGAAGCGCGCAACTCGCCCGCCCTGACTCCCCAACTTAGCCGCGGCTCCGCGCCCGGCACCCACCGCCGCCGCCGTGCCGCCCCGGAGCGACAGCCCGGATCCAAGGCAGGTTACTCTCCAAGGTGATCACTTCCTGATTCGTCGCCTCCATTACTTCATTCACTCCCCCCTCTCCGCGGCCGCCCCGCAGACAGAAGCGGACACCCGACCCCCGACGCTGACTGTCCCAGGGGACGCTCCCCGCCCGCAGGGTGCCCCCTCGGCCGCTACACCGATGCACCGGAGAAAAGTTCCCCTGCGCTTACCCGCCCGGATGAGCAGATCCAGCTGGTTCTTGGGTCCCTCATGCAGAGACGTCGCCATGTTTATCCCGGGGCTGGAACTGCTGCTTCACATTGACTTACACGGTGAGCAGCGGCGACAGGGGAGAAGGCGGAACCCGCGGCCGGAGACACACGCCGTGCGGGCGGCACACACGCACTCGCACACACTCAGACGCCCGGATCCTTGCGCGTCCTCCGACAGGAAGCGGCGGCCGGCCCGCCTCCCGCCGCCGGGCTGAGCAGCCCCACCACCTAACGGCAGGGGCGGCGGCGGCCCGGCTGGCAACGCGATCCTTCCGCCCCGCGCCCAGACAGGAAGTCCCGGGCGCCGGCAGCTGAGCGGCCGTACGAACACCTGAGGCTGGGGAGCCGCCGGCTGCCCACGGGGACGCGGCCCCGGGCAGGAAGAGGCGCGCTACACGCTTTGCGGAAACGAAGTCTGCAAATGTCCCCCCCTTCTGGAAAAGAGCCATGAATCCAATTTTTCTTCCTAAAAGCGACCAAAATACCTAGTCCCGCAGCTGTATATGGAAGTGGCTTTTTAACTTGTTTTAGCCTTTTCAGAGCTTGTCTGCAACATGCAATCAGTTCAGTGGAAAGAACTGAACTTTAAAAACCCATACTAGAAAATATCCTAAAAGCATTTCTGGGAAAGTAAGGAGTTTCCAACTTCTTCCAGAGACGACTTCGTTCTCTTCTCTACAGAAGTCAGAGTAAGCAGGTAATTAGTAAACAGAACAGCCAGCCTCTGGGAGACTGGATTAGATTCCCCCAGTTTGCTAATCACAAAATTCATGTTCCCTCTCACTTTTATTTGGCTCATTTGCAAACAAATGAATGTATTCTTGGTCATCTCCGAAAAAAATTCCTTTGGCCAGAAAACTATCCCCTCTGACAAACACTACATACAACACAACAGGAAAGGGTTATATAGATAAATAGCCAATTAGTGAGTGTACATTAGTGAAAATACAAGAAATGAGACCGATAAAATGATGAGACCTAATTAAAAGACCTTCCTTGCTTTCGAATTTCTTAATATAAAAACTGTGAAACATGCTACTTGAAGCTGATCGCCACAAAATTTATGCAAACAATGCCTCTCATAGATCAAGTGTTCAGTAAATATTTGCTGAATAAACACAAAACACATACACATTTAAAATGGTGAATATTTTGAGTTAACTGAAATGTTCTTAAAAGATGTTTTCAACACTGATATAATAAGATACTGTTTCATAAGTTTACCCAACACCGCTGTAGCATCCGGTGTATTACAAAGCCCACGTCTACTTGTATGGCACTTCTATTACTTCTTATCTTCTTTCTGTCATTTCTCCTAGCCCTATCACCTTGCAAAAGGGAGCCTACATGCCTTTTCCAAAGTACAAAGCCCCTTAAACCAATAAGAATCTCTTTCATCAAGTAAGCTTTGCATGTATAGGACAAAATAAATTACTGATAGCTTTTATTTTTCACTGCTACCAATTTGAAATAAAGATCTCCCACTGATAGGCAGCATCTTAACAGTTTCTAAGTGGAGAAAGATATGGGTAATTTGCTGGCTTTAGGCAGATCATTGAAACTGATAGCATCTGAATTTCTGAAACTCCTATAACTAGTTTTACATGTATTCTACTTAACAGGTCTATTTTTTACTGGACGTGACAAGTCAACCAAATGGCTCAAAATGAATAAAAATCTTCTCAATATGGGGTCAACCAGTTGAAGTTTGACACAACTTTTATCTCAGATATAGCTGAAAAATATATGTGTGTATACATGTATATGTTTTGCTGGTTGTACATTCTAATTATATGCATCCATGTCCACCTTATATTCTAAGCACTGAGAAAATAGAAGATATATATATATATATCCTTGCATAATAATTTATACACAAAACATATATACACAGAAACTAATGCAAAATGACAGAAAAACATCATTCCTACTTATCTGGAACTTATAAAAACAAATTTTCCTCAACTTTAAAAAAAGTATTTATTAATTTGATTTATTTTATGTGTATGCGCCTGAGTATATATATGTTGTGAGCCACCATGTTAGTGCTGGGAATCAAACCCAGGTCCTCTGGAAGAGTAGCAGTGTCCTTAACCACTGAGCATCTCTCCAGCCCCCAAATTCCCTCAACTTTAGTGCAAATCTGCCTTACTACTCTAAACAGGCTTTCAAAAGCCACCATATTTTTAGAGAATATTAATATTGATAATGAGAGACAGCTCAGCACATAAGGGTGTATAAGAGGATTGAAGTTGGATTCCCACCACCCATACAGTGGTTCACAGTTGTAACTCCAGCTCCAGGAGATCCAGCACCCTCTTCTGGCTTCTATGGGCACTGCAAATATATGGTGCAAAACATTTATATACATGCAGGCAAAACACTCACATACATAAAAATAAAAGTAATAAATCTGCCAGGCATGGTGGCATATGCCTTTGGTCCCAGCACTTGGGAGGCAGAGGCAGGCGGATCTTTGTGGGTTCAAGGCCAGCCTGGTCTACATAGCGAGTTCCAGGCCAACTAGGACTACTGGGGAGACCCTGTCTCAAAAAGACCAAAAACAAAGTAATAAGTCTAAAAAATAAAAAGTAGGATAAGCTGTTGCTAGAATGTATACTGATACACACTTCCAAGAGAGGAGAAGTTAATCAAGAATCTAGTGTGTATGTCTGTATATATACACAAATGCTTATCTGCAGTTTTCAGTTCTTCACAGTTGAAAATATATTTATAAACAGACTTTTCTTAAAGCTAAGGATGAATACACAGGCTTTTACGGTTAGATGCTTTAGAACAAAATTCATATTCTGCTAATAAAATTACAGAAAAAACAAAACCTATATCAAAATTATTGATATGTCCCAGCAGAGGGGGAAAAAGGTAAATAGCTCTTATTGCTTACCAAATAAGACTGAGTTACATGTTTTACCTTAATTTCTTTTTACTTATTCCTGTCCACATTCCTATGAAACACATATTACTATTATGTTCATTTTACTGATAATCTAAAGTTTCTTCCTTAAAGTTATAAAGTTATAGAAGAGTAGAGTCAGAATTTGAACCTAGAAGCTCTGACACCACAGCCCTTACTCCCAACCACTCTCCAGGAACAAAAGTAACAGGCCTGTTTATCTGTAATGATAAATTTTTAGTACCTACAATTTTCTCATCTGCAAAGTTTTTTATAGTTCCTCCTTAAAGATGTATCTTAATCCCTTTCTTATTCCTAACTTTTAGCAAATGGAATAAGGCTGAAGTGATTAGGTCACAAACCCTTCAAGGAAGCCAGGTCATGAGTATACTGAACAAAAACCAAAGAAGAAAGGCTGGAGAGATGGCTCAGTGGTTAAGAGCACTGGCTGCTCTTGCAGAGGACCCAGATTTGGATCCCAGCACTGGCTAACAACCATCCATAACTCTAGTTCCAGGGGATCTGATGCCCTCTTCTGACCTCCACAGGCACCACACTACATGGGTACACTTACATACATGCAGGCAATACACTCATACACATAAAATAAAAATAATAGTGTTTTTTAAAAAGCAAGAAACAATGGTATGCTACCAACAACTGTGAAAACAAACTATCTAGGAGAGAGACCCTCCAACCAAATCTTTAGATGACCGCATCCCTGACAGACAGATTGCAGCCACATGAAAGACTAAGAGCCAGGACCATGTATCTCAGCCAATCCCCAACCCTTAACCCCCCAAAACTGTGAATGGTAAATATTTAGTATTTTAAAGTGCTAAATTTAGGGTGGTTCGTTAATTAGCTAAGGATACTCTAAAAAGAAGGAGTGGTTTAAAATCCTAACTTTTGAGTAGGGAGTGGTGGCATATTCTGTAATCTCAGCATTGAGGAGACTGAAGTAGGAAGATCAAGTTTGAGGCACTGCTGAGCATGTTCCAGACTAGCCTGGGCTTCATAGCAAGACTGTCTTAGGACTGGAGAGACGGCTCAGCAGTTAAGAACACTGACTGCTCTTGCAGAGAACCTGGGTTCAATTCCAGCACCCATATGACAGCCAACAACTGTCCTTAACTCCAGGTTCCAGGGGATCTGATGCCTTCTTCTGACCTCCAAGGGCACTGCACAACACAGGTACATGTAAAATAAGTAAATAAATTTTTTAAAAAGACTGAAAACAAACAGGGTTGGCAATGTGGGTCAGTGGGTAAAGGTGCTTGCCGTCAAGCCTATGAGTTCCATCCCCAGGACCCACAGAGTGGAAGAAACAATATCTTCTGACCTTCACACATGTGCTATGGCACATGTATATCCCTCTCCCATAATAAGTGAATTTTTAAAAGAATACTTAAATGTACAGCCTGGTCTACATAGTAAGTTCAAGGCCAGCTGGACCCTGTCTCAAAAAGACCAAAAAAAAAAAATTTAGATAAATAAATAATAATAATAATAATGTGTATTACCAAAAAATTTTTTTGTCTTTTTGAGACAGGGTCTCTCTATAGCTCCAGCTGGCCTTGAACTCACAGAGATTCACCTGCCTCAGCCTCCCAAGTGCTGGGACAAAAGCCGTGCACCACCATGCCCAACTGTATTATAAAATTTTATGCTAGTAAAGTTGACACCTGAATGAAGTGTATAAATTCTTAGAAAGTATGTAATTCCCCATAAGTACACAGACATAAAATTTAATTGAATTCAAGAAATGGTAAAGGACCTTAAATGCAGTCCAAAACCTTCCTTAAAAAACTTCCAGACTTGAATACCTTTTTAGCTACTACAAAATTCTAGTAATTTTAAACTAACACATAACTTGTTGCTGAAAACAGAAAAAAAAAAAGCACCTGTATTATTTTATGAGCCCAGAGTAACCTTGATTCTAAAACTACATAAGAACAATGTAAGAAAATAAAGT